GTTATTCAAATGAGAAATTGAGAGAGAACATTCCTTTCTTCTTTATATAAGGGATTCCTGAGACGCGTTATGGGGGTGGGGAGTTGTTTAACCGAGGCCTGTAAAAAGCTACTCAGCTGACTGCCTATGGCAAGTCAAAACTGCCCACAAGCAACCAGGATAGTTCATGAAAGTAATTTTAAAGCATATTTTTGCAGGCCAATTTAATTACAGTATATGTTGGCAGATAGATTAATTATTTGGGAGGGGGTTTGTATTTGTAAAGTTTTTTTTTAGCTTCCACCTCCAGAGAGATAGTCAGACACAAGTGAGCAGAGTTGGTTTGGTGAGAAACAGTGCAAATTTACTGGCTTATATTATGAACAAAGACATACACAAATCACACCCTTGATTTCAATGTAAACGAATCTGGATTAATAATCAATCACTGTTTTAGTACTTGTGAACGCTAATGTATATACTGCAATTCCACTGCAGCTGCAAATATGCTTAGATCGCCATAAGAAGATATTAAGTGATTTATAATTTATGTTAAGCAATATGATTATATATTTAATGTGTGCCGTTTCCTTAACATTAGTGTGAAATTTCAAAACTATGCTCTTTCCTTGTTATTTGGCAAGGAAAGAAAAAATGCAGTCGTCATCCATCTGCCCTTTATTTGGCCAAGGACTTCGGACAATAGCCAATCTCTACAGACATATGCGCACATAAATACTTGAATTGAACTGGGTCATTCCTGTATGCAAATTGTGTTGTGATAGCCACATCGCTATGCTGCTAAAAACCTTAACGGGGGGGGGGAGGGAGGGTTGCAGTACTGTGGCAAGACTTACTAAAAACATGTAAGGAACTACTTTAAACAAGTGGATTATGAGATGGAGAAGTCTCCATTGCCTTGCGCTCCAAGCAAGGACAAAGAGCACTGTTCATATGTATGAATTAGTCGGTATTTTTATAACTACATGCACGCTTCATTGAATGCAGTGGGGTTTACTTCTCGGTAATACATGCATAGAATTGTGTTGTTAATACTGTAGAAAATCATTTGCCATAACTATTATTCTTTGGGATGCTGCTCTATCTGCTTAGCTCATCTGTGTATAGGGTGGCAGGATACTAAAACACATTTATAATGGATATTGACAAACAGCCAGAAAATTGCCTAATATGCCAGAACATCAGTTGATAGCTTCCTACAAGTCTCTACTATCAACTATTATGAATCAGGTACTGTCCCAATAATCCCTTTAACATATAAATTCAAAATGGCTAATTTCTCTCCTATATTCAGTAATTTGTCAAGCTTAAATATTTTAGACCATTAATCATATGTTTTTAATGAATTCATAATTGCAGTACATTAATTTGAATATATTAATCTATTAGGAATATTTAGTGTGCTTCATTTTTTTAGAAAATGAAGAAAGCCAAATATATTATTTGATAAACAAAGACTTTTCATTCCTTATTAGTGGAATTTTTTTAATACATTTCCTTTTTAATTCTCTAATTACTATAAAACACCAGAACCAATACAGCTTTACAGAATAAAGAACTATACGCAACTTACAGTTACAATGATTAAAATGTGCTTCTATTTATTAATTAATTGGAACTAGTTAATTAATCTACTTATTATACCAATTCAGTCAATCCTAATTTCAGGTCTTCTTTACAGAACAAAATTTCCTACAAATTGCTCTAAGCATGCCTCTCAAAGAGAGTCCATGTCAGAACAATTACCCTTAAATCTTTACTACTATAATGGCTAAAAAAAACTATACACATGCTGGCAGAAACTGTTACTCTCAAGAGTTACAACTTCCCACAAATCTCTCTTCCAAGCATCATCTCTGCAAGAAAGTGGTCAATGGAATGGCATAAGAAGATGATGACATAAGTACTTGATGAATCTATAACTGCCTAGCAAATATTGACCTCTAATCCAGTTCCTCATATATAATGACACCATATCACCTAAGGTAGAGGAGAATAGACATATGCTAGTGTTGCTTTTGTTTTCTGCATTGTAGTGTGATATTTGACTCTTTCTAGTATTTGCATACTTACTGTTTTTGGCTTTAAATATTGTCTTTTAATAATGTAAGTCACTTGGGTCCTTTTAAAGGAGAAAGGTGAGGTAAATTTACATTCATTAAATAATAAATAAATTTGGAAAGCATTACAATCAAAGTGGAGATACTGCCAATCAATAAACAACCCATAATACTTTATGCATGCTATTGGCCATTTGACTCCGAAGTCTATGCTTCTAAAATGGCTGCCATGGATAGAATGTATCCCTCAGGACTACCAATTTCCACCCAACATTTTTCTCTTGTCAGAACAGCTAACACTGAAATGCATAATCCCAAAGTGTGATGAGTTACTCAGAATGACTGCACTGTCAGGAACGGTCAAATGTTTGACTCCATGTTTGTATGCTCTACCCACTATGCAATCTTACCACCAGTCAGAGTCCTAGACTCAAGCTCTAGAAGTCACTGAAACTCACCCAACCCCTAAACTCATGGGCTTCACCTCTCCCAGAAAAGCTACTGATACAGAAGTATAGTCTAAATGAGAGGAACCATCTCTTATAGGTTATTTCCCTCTGAAGGCCAGACTATGGCAGTATCTTAAGCACTTCTGGTCCCTAATAAGCCCTTCTCCTCGACCTTCTTTTCTCCCCTTCTTCCCCCTGTAACTGGTCCTCATTCATCTGACAGGATCCAGGCAGCCTTGTTGTTTCCATAGCAACATTGCCATGGAAACTGCGGAGTCCATTCCCTCCTCCCCCTTATCGCCATCCTTCCCTCACAAGCACAGCCTTCCCTGGGGCAATACCACCAGGGGGACTCAAGAAACCCAATGAGGGGCGGACTGAAGGTTTCGGAGCTTTACCTAGCTTTGGCACTCTAAGAGTATGTGTGGGGCTGGAGGAAGGACATGTGTTATTAAGAAACACAGATATATATTGTCTGTCAGCCTTCCTCCCCAAACCTTCCTTATTCTTTCGTCTCCATTAGTTAGCTAGCTCATTTCATTTTTCCTTTTAAAATTTCTCTGTTACACTTTACTTTGGCTTCCTTTTGCGTCCTCTTAGATTCTGTCCCACTTCCTTGCATCCCTCCCTCCCTCCCTCATATGTACCCTCCCATCACAGAGAACCTGGAGTGCTCCCAGATATCTTGTTCCGATGACAATCCTCCCTCCCTCCATGTGTACGATTCCACCAGCCAACACCTGTGAGTAGGCAGGGCCTCCACACATAGTCTGCAATGGATCCACTGGAAACTGATGGAGAAGCTGCCATGTCTGAGGTCCTGTGTTCGCATTGTATGCACACGCGCACACACCTTCCCTGCCTACAAATCAGCACATTCAGTTGTATGCACACATTCACGACATCCTCCCTCCAAGCATTACCAGCACTTCACACATACACATCTACATACCTCCTTCCTATATATCAGATTTGCATTATATGTGTGGTCCTGTACAACCCAACCCATTTTCATATACACGTAATATATATTTGTTCACATTGATGCTTGGTCACACACAAATAGAGACAAATGAGTATAGATGCCTGATCTGATCACGCACATGTGGTCATGCTGAGTCTCGTAAGTATGCAAAATCAATTCTTTCTGAACACATGCATTCGGGAAAATAGAGGCCAGTACTTCTGAGTACACAAGGACACAGTTGTGATCTGCCCATCCCAAACTTACACCTGGCACCTGTTTTCTTCTGGATCTACTGCTCTATTACAGTTAGGTTGTAGTGCAGTGCGGCAGCCCTGGGGAAGCACATTTTGGGGGGGGGGAGGGATGCAGCCAGTTTAATATGAAAAGAGTCAGTTTATATCATCTTCATTCTCTCTCTCTCCCTCCCTCTCCCTCTCTCTTTCTTTCTTTCTCTCCCTCTCCCTCCCTTCCTCTCTCTCTCTCTCTCTCTCTCTCTCTCTCTCTCTCTGTGTGTGTGTGTGAGAGAGAGAGAGAGCATGTGAGTGTGGGGGGAGAGAGTTTAGGGATAAGAAGGAGCAATCCTGATGTGTGAATATGATAGGAATTGATCTTTTAAAAGCTGTTAATATATAATCCCAGTAAAATAGACAACTGGAAAAAACGCATGCCAACACTGTCACATAACGCAACACATTAATGATCTGCCACATACACAAAGAAGCAAGAAACGTAATACACAACCTATAATTTGAGACATACATACACACAAAGCAACTGTCACATGGCTAGAGCTGCAGCATCTCTCTCTCTCTCTCTCTCACACACACACACACACACAGATGCCAAAAGCTCACAGTTCTGAGCATAAAATGGCAACATACAAATGTATAAAAGCTAGTGAAATACATACCTAGTGCAAAGAACAGCTGCATCACAGTTGTTAAGGCAAACATATATACACATACACACATTCAAGTAAAGCCTTAAGAGTTAGCACATTGATGGAAAAAACTGTTCCACTAACAGGCATACAAATATACATATTGGTATAGCCTTACACACAAGTGAAAATCAGTTATACAGTGACTGTCTCGTCATATACCCTCTGAAACCACTTTTCTACTGAACCATCCCAGGAGCTATGGCACTTCTCATCTGAATTCCAGCACAACCCGATACTCATACCAAGGTAGGCTTGGACCAAGATACAATCGACATACCACAACAGCCAGATCTGTTCTGCAGCATGGGGTGTTTAACCCCTTCCTTCATCTCCAAACAGTCTGTAACAACAAATCTGTTTTGATTTTGTAGGTTTGATACAGACCAGAAATGCAGTAAAACCTGAAGTAAAAAATATGCATTTCACACACAAACACACACACACACACAAACAGGGAGTAAAATCCTTCAAGACATTGCCTGCCACCTCCCACTTTTTTTTTGAGTTGTTGTAGCTTATCTAGTACATCCAACCCCAGACACTGTTTCTTTAGTGACATATTGCATAAATCTAAGGCTTACCTTGATCTATTTTTTAAAAATCCCATACAAAATACTTCCCTTGTTGGTGTAGAATCTTTTTGCTGCAAGCCGTCAATGGCAGAAGCAATTTTCCCCCCTAAGGAGAACACTTGAAATTCCAGATGTTCCTCCACACATCAAGAGAATACTTGATTTTCCTTCACAGAAAAAAAAATCCCACCTCAAAAGTGGGCACTTTCTATTAAAAAATAGAATTCCACTCTGTGAAAAAGAAAGGCAACACATGAATTAGACATGATGCTTTAGGAATTCCATTGGCTGCTCGGCAAGCCAAGAGCTGTACTGATTGGTGAAGAGAATGCACTCGATGGATAACTACAGCCCCTCACCCAAACTGGTGCCCCTCCCTCGAAACTGCTTTCAAGTCCCAAAGGAGTGAAGAGGGTGAGTAGGAAGAGCTTTCATTAACAAAAAAAGAGTGAGCATCCAGTTCTGGATGGAGCAAAGAGCGTGGGATGCAGGAGCCTGGGATTGGACACAGACGCCTGTCAATCAAACAGGAGAACTCAGCCACCTTTCTGTATTTCCCCAGCTGTCTCTTTCTCTGTCTTGAATTTTTTGCTTCAGAAAAAGGCGGAGGTGGGGGCGGAAACAAAGTTTGCTCTGTGTCTGCTGCTGTCCCATTCAACACTAGCTCTTAACTTTGAGCATCCTGTCCAGAGAAGCCCATCTTCCTGGCTACCATTAGAGACTATTCACACCGCTCCTGTACGAGAAGCTGGATCAGCTGTTCCAGTTTCTCATGTTCCTAAAAACACAAGAAGGCTACTTTCAAATTCTTGGTGCAGAGAAATCCCACTTAATTTTCTTTCTATGGCTGCCTTAGCTACAGTTTTCAGAAAACCAAAGAGGAGGGCATGCTTTGTCAAAAACTGGTAGTGATCGAAATGTTGAGTGGAGATATGTAGATTTCGTACAGGTTCCCGTCACGTTTTCCCCAAATATTTAGAGCACTACCAAAAAGATGTTGCATCAGTTCGAAAAACGTAGCTCTTGCCTACGTTAAATCTGACCTTTTTATCCTCCTCTGCTGGCAGCTATTCTATTGCTTTTTTGGTTGCTTTTCTACTTCTTGATCATCTTATTTTAACGTTTCTCTTTTAATTTGTCTTTGTCGCATCTAGTGTGCTGGACAAACTGGACAAGGAATGTTTACAAGAGAGTAAGAGATAGCTCAGTAGTTTAGGTATCTGGCTGGAGAGCCAGAGGTTGGGAGTTTGATTCCTTACTCTTCCTCCTGAGAGAAGAGCCAGCCTGTGTAGCCTTGGGCAAGATGTACCGTCCCAGGGCACCCCCAGGAGAAGGGATTGGTAAACGATTTCTGTGTATTCTCTATCTGAAAAACTCTGGAAAAGGTCACCATAAGTTGAAATCAACTCAACGGCATACAATACGTACATAAGAGGCAGACCTCATCGTTCCTAAATGGGGGCAGTGCACAGGTCCCTTTTAATTTATTTTATTAATGAATTAAAAAGGGATCTGTCTATTCCCTCTCTTGTGTCCCTACCATGTAGCTGGAAGATAAGGATGGATTCCTTTTCCAACAGTCTTTTAAAAATGCATGTGGCACAGCAGTAGGGAAAGAGTAGTGATGTAATCTCCCCCCTCCATTTTGTGTAGGAATCCTTACACTTAGCATCGACAGTGTGCAGAGACTGGCCTGCTTGTCTTCTGATTGCCACTGGGAAATGATCAGACATATATGAACCCTTGAAGTTGTATGTGACATCTTTCTCTCCTGTAATAGTGTTTCCAGGGAAGACAGAGGAGAAAAGTTGGCATCTGGGTCTTTCATAGGGAAGGGTTTGTGTGTCTTTAACTCTGTTGTGGGATCTGTTAGTCCTGTTGGGTAACCATTTGTACTTTCCACTTTCACCCACATACTGGTTAGCACCTCATTGCTTTAAAGGTGTCATCATACAATAGTATCAGTTTATTGATCTGTCTATCTATTCTACCCATTTACCATATTTATACACCACCTTTTTGAAATAACAGCATGTGCAGCAATCCAGATAAGGTAAAAAGCAACAGCAACACATTCCTTTTCAATTTTAATGAGTAGCAGGAACTAATTACTCTTTCTTTCCTCCCTGGCTACATTAAAAACACACACATTTTCATGATGTTTCTAGGACCATTGTATGCCCATTTCAGCTGTTACTCTTCTTTTGCTGTTTGTTCTTAAATGTATATTAAAATATTTAAATTATATTAAAATGCTTAAGTTTAATATAAATTTAAGAACAAACAGCAAAAGAAGAGTAATAGTTGAGATGGACATACAACAGTCTAGAAACATCATGATAATTTTTTTAAAAGTGGGGAAGGGAGGAAAGAAAGGATGAGAGTTGATACATAGGTTAATTCCACCTGGATTTCCATGTTGCAAGCCATCTCCTCTTGATGAACCTAGGAACTACCTGACAAGAAGTGACCTCTAATCTGGTATTTCATATACTGTATAGTATACTGGCCCCATATTACCTATAATATAGGAGAATAGGCATATGCTAGTGTTTTTTTTTGTTTACCATTTGATGGTGTAGTACTTGACCATTTAGTATTTGTAGACTTACTGTTTCCAGTCACTCATCTAGGCTTTTCTTTTCTTTTGACTACAGAATTTGCCCTTTACATTCTAACCTGATAACATCTTTAGTTTCAACCCACAGTTCTTCTGGTTGACAGACAATTGACTTTAATAATGCAAATTTATTGCTTATGAGGATTTCATATTCATCAGAAATATTTAAATTGTATTAAATTATTCAAATTATATTTTGGCACTGTGATTGTTTTAGTGTTCTTTTTCACTTCTGCTCTAATTTTTGATATTAACAATTAATGGTCAGTATCCACAGTCTACTCCTGGATTTGTTTTGGTAAACAGAATACAGCTTCTCCACCGACTACTTCCAATTATGTAGTCTGTGTGAGTTCTGTTTTTGACCACTTGGTGATGTCCATGTGTAGAGTCATCAGTTTGGTAGCTGAGAGCATGTATTTGCAATAAACAGATTGCTGGATTCACAGAAATCTATGAATACTTGTCCTGATTTATTTCTGACTCTTAGGCTAAATTCGCTAATAATGTCCGGGTCTGTTTTCGTTCCCACTTTTGCGTTCCAGTCACCAACAGTTATAAGCACATTCTGCTTTGGTTGTGTGATCAATTTCCTCCTGAATGCTTGTGTAAAAGATTGAGATTTCTTCATTTTCTGTATCTGCAGTGGGAGCGCAGACTTCAGTGATGGTTATATCAATAGATTTGGCAAGAAGTTGGATGGATATTATTTGGTCAGACTTTGCATTTTGGCTCCTAACTATCTGTGCTACATCTTGCCTAAGTTTAGAGCTGAACCATTTCTTTTCCTGGGTAAAACTACTGATGCTCCTGGTTTAGAAATCAGATTCTGCTCGGGTGGCACAAGGGGTAGGTATGGCACAGTAGCCAGAAAAGTTGAATTGGGATTCAGATGGTGGTCACACTGAACTATAAAACATGAAGGCTTTTTATTAATTATTCTTGCTGAAAAGAAAATATATTGGTTTTGCTGTCCATTGCAACAGCTCTTTCTTAGTTGGATAGAATTCAGTTGATGATTGGCAGCATGCTTGTGCCGAAAGGGTGACCTGAAATGGATGGGCATGCCACCCTGAAAATAGCAGGCTGCCGACAGCCTAGGGTAAGGAAGAGTGCCAAGCTGAGGGCAAGGAAGATAGATAGAGTACTAGGAACACTCCCATGTAAGGAAATTTCTGCCCTCCCTCTTCTACTCTGCCAAGAATCAAAACAAGAGAATGAAAGTAATGGCAGTTAGAACACCAGAATTTGTACCCCTGCTTATCATATCACATTCATAACAAATACAGCCCCTGTGCCATGCCTGTAATCACAGCACTCATTAGAGGGTTGGTTTATTTCACTGTTGTGTGTATGTTTCTGGGTATGGGGAGGTGAGTGGCTGAGAAGGGAAGGATTAAATTTTGACAGAGGTCTGAACTGATGGCTTTTGAAATAAGGCTGAAGGCGACATGAAATTAAGCTGAGAGGCCCATGTCGTTTTAGAACTGGAACTTCTCCGCCTCTGGTCTCATAATAATCAAGTGCCATCAAGTCAATTCTGGATCATGATAACCCTTTCCAGGCTTTTCAAGGTAAAGAGTACACTTAGAAGGGGTTTACCATTTCCTTTTTCTGGGAGTGTCCGGGGATTGTGCAGCTTGCCCAAAACCACACAGGGACCTCTGGTAGGGAAAAGAAAAATGAAAAAGGAACATGCATCCTACCAAATGGGTTGTCTAATCGTTAGAAACCCACATCTGTTCATTGATTTGCATCAGACCAGCGTGTGGAAAATACTCTTTTATTAATCTCCTTGTCTTTGAGCTCAGTTGGGTGGTTAAAATGTATTAAATGGCATTTAATTTACTGCCCATTTAGTGTTCCCAATTACATGTCGGTAAACAATCATGGGAAATGGGACGTGGTGGCGCTGCGGGCTAACCCGCAGAAGCCTCTGTGCTGCAAGGTCACAAGACCAGCAGTCGTAAGATCGAAGCCACACAACGGAGTGAGCTCCCGTCACTTTGTCCCAGCTCCTCACCAACCTAGCAGTTCGAAAGCATGTAAATGTGAGTAGATAAATAGGTACCGCCTCGGTGTGAAGGTAAAACGGCGTTCCCTGGTCACGCTGGCCACGTGGCAATGGAAACTGTCTTCGGACAAGCGCTGGCTCTACGGCTTGAAAACGGGATGAGCACCGCCCCCTAGAGTCGGACACAACTGGACTAAAAATGTCAAGGGGAACCTTTACCTTTACCTAAACAATCATGGGAGCCAAGGTCCAAAGCTAGAGAATCAGTACAGGAATACTATGAGTTTGCTGATCACAATAATGTTTGTCTAAATTATCGCGTGATTTACAGTATTTTTAAACAACTCCCTCATCGGGGTCTGAGATCCCCCACACATGTACATATGCTAATGTGTTTTGACGCCTTAAAATGACTAGTCAAAAGAAACAGACGAAGTCTTTTGTAATTTTTGAAATAAATACATCCAAATTCTATATACTGTAGAGGTGATATCGTTATAGTAAAAATAATTGTGTGCTGTCAAGTCAATTCTGTTTTCTAGGTTGATCATACACAAAAGGGATTTACCACTCCCTTGTTCTTGGGGCTCCCTGGGACTGTG